CAGGGATGTGTAGATTAGGTGGGTTATAGGGGGATGAATCTGGTGGGATGCTGTGAGGTCAGTGTGGACCAAAGGGCCTGTTTCCACACTGCAGGGATTCTAAATATCTAAAACTACACATACTGCAGGGTGTCACCAAAAGTGAAGCAGGTAAGAGGTTTGAGAATTCTGCAGCAATGGAACGTCTCACTTTGTATTTATATAACATTTATCTTTGAGGTACACACTTGTGTGGTTGAAAGCAAGGTCTCTAGGTAGAGTAGTGAATTGACCAGGTCCCCTTGGTTCAGGGTGCCTTTCAAGCAGGGGAAGTAAAAAGGAATGTAATGAAGGAAGGATGGTAATTGGGATAGTCCAGTGAGGGTTATAACTCCCATTTTGTGCAGCAAGGGACGAGTCCAAAAAGGCTATTTTGCATAACTGATGCCAGTATTTATAACATCTATTCAGGCAGGGCAGGAATTTGAATGAGAGGGGGTGTATCCAGTGGTCATGGTGTGTATAGATACCAATGACATAGGGAAAACTAAGAAAGAGGGTCAGCTTGTACAGTATGAGGAGCTAGACATCAAATTGCAGAGCAGATCCTCAACAGTGATACTCACTGAATTATTATTTGAAATGGGTGCCAATTAGCAGAGAGCACATTAAGAATAGTTAAGTAAATATGTGGCTGAAACACTGATGAAAGTCTGGTGAAAAAAGTGGGTTCCAGTGCAGAGGCATTGACGTCAGTACAGTGGAAAATTGGAGCTGTACTGTTGGGGTAGTCTGATTTGAATTATGCTGGGACATGTGTTCTAGCAAACTGTATAACTAAGGAAGTAGAGAGATCTTGAAACGAAACTGTAGGAGTAAGAAATCAAGCTTAGATAGATGTAGGAAATTAAAGGGAAGAGTCGAGAGCAAAATAGAATTATGGGAAATGAAGGTCAGAGAATGGCAGAAAGAATAAGGAAAATAAACCTAAGAATACACCACCAACCAAAAAGAGATATTACAGAGAGAACGAAAAGACAAATTTAAGGATTCTGTATCTGAATGCACATTGCATTCATATCGTAGACAAATTGACAGCACTCTTGTGTTAAATAAATATGAACTGATTACCATTATGAAGACATGCCAGGAATGACAAGAGTCGGGTCCTAAATATTGAGGGGTATATTGCATTTGAGAAGAATAGGAGGCTAGGTATAGGTGGTGGGGTGGTATTGTTAATCAAGGATAACATTGATGCAATAGTTAGAGATGAGCTTGGTTCTTGAGATCAGGATGTAGGATCAGTATGGATGGAGATGTGCAATAATAGATGAAAGAAATTCACTACTGAGAGTGGTCTATAGGCCTCATAACATTAATCACAATGTAAGTTGAAGTATACAAGAACAAATATTCAGTACTTGTGATAAAGAAAAGTCAGTAATCATGGCTCATTTTTGATTCGCATAAGGTCAATTGAAGTGTGATATCTGCTAAAACAGAATGAAAAAAAATGTTGCAACTGACCAAGAGGGAGTTCAACAGAAGAAGGGGAGCCCTGATCACTCCTCTTTCAGTTGCAACAATATATTTGAAAAAGAGACAAAAAAGTAGGTACATGGGACAAGAGCAGGGCTATGAAACTAACAGTGTATCTTTCAAAGTGCCCACAAAAGCACAAAAGGCCAAATGCCCTCCTTCTGTGCTGTATGATTCTATACAATTCAGCTTCCTTTTAAGATGATATATTTTCAGTTGAAATTATTAAGTCATATTTATGATTGAAACTGCCTATTTAAAGGTGTCACACTGTAATAACAAACTCCATTCACAAGTGGCACTGGAGTGTCTCCACTGGGAAGAGGTGTTGACTAATTCATCTGAGCAGATTCAATCATGAAGGTGAATTTAGGAATTTTAATATTGAAAAACTGAAAGAAAGTGTGTACAGAGGTAAGATTGTAATATACTAATATAAATCTAAAATGTTTCCTGCAGACCTGCTCATATCTCAGTTACAACTGGCTAAAACTGTTTGAATAAGATGTTGAAACATGATAATACAATCATCCCTCCACAGTAAGAGCTATCAGGTAGGAATTTGTTTCTTTTTATGTATTTACAAATGCTAAAAGCTTATTTTCTGTTGGGGACAGTATCATATTGGGAGTGTAAAATGCAATATTTTTGTTTGAATTCATACATAATCTGTTTGGTAATCCATGCCAATTTTGCAGTTTGTACAAACTAGACACCTGTCACCAAGACAATAAAGTAATCACAGCTGTGTTCTCAAAGGTCAGTTTGACTTCAGACACAGGGAATGAGTGCATGCTGCCCACTTATGTATGCACCCAATCCTGATACACAAAATTAAATCCTTTTTCAGTAATAGAACAAAAACGTATAACACTACAGCACAGGAACTGTCCCTTCAGCCCACTATTTCTGTGCCAACCATGATACCATTCTGAAGTAATCTCCTCTGCCTGATCCATATCCTTCTATTCCTTGTCTGTTCATGTGTCTGTCTAAATACCTCTTAAATGTTCCTACCATATCCGTGTCTACCATCTTTTGAAGCACCAACCACCCTCTGTGAAAAAAACTTGCCACACACATCTCCTTTAAACTTTCCCCTCTCACCTTCAACCTACGCAGCCTGGTATTTGGCATTTCCACCCTGGGAAAAAGACTCTGACTATCTAACCTGTCCATGCCTCATAATTTTATACACTTCTGTCAGGTTACCACTCAGCCTCTGACTCTCTAGCAAAAACAATCCAATCTCTCCTTATAGCCAATTCATTCCAATCCAAGCAACATCCTGGTAAACCTTTTTTTGCACTATCTCCAAAGCCTCCACATCCTTCCTATTGTGTGATGACCAGAACTGCACACATACTCTAAATGTCCCCTAATTGAAGTTTTTTACAGCAGTAACATGACTTGCCAACTTTTATACTCATTGACCTGACCAATGAAGGTAAGCATGTCACATGCCTTCTTTACCACTTTATCCACTTTCAGGGAGCTATGGACTTGCACCCAAGATCCCACTGTATATCAATACTCCTAAAGGCCTTGCTATTTACTGTATACTTGTCTTTTTGACCTCCCAAAATGCATCACCTCACACTTGTGGGTCGTTTTCCTGCCATTATTTTAAATGTGAAATTACTTTGTTTAATTTTTAGAACATGTACTGACAGTAATTGTCCCAAACGTTTAAGCTGAATCCTTTAGTAGAATCTTTTAGTAGAAATTAAAAATTGGTCATGCTTTATTTGTAGGGGCCTTTCAACCATTTTTATTTACGCAGCTGTTAAACTTTAAAATGTTACCATATAGTGCTCTCTCATTACAGACAGGCGATTGACGACGGTTTAACTACAGGGTCACCACACATTAGGCAAGGGAAGAAGTTGAGAAGGAGAACCCTTCATGAAAACCTCAAACAGTGTAGGAATTGAACGCACGATGTTGTGAATCACTGCATTGCAGCCGCCCAGTCAACTGAGGTGAACGACCTCTTTTGCTTTTAAAATACCTTTTTACAGTCAATCTTTAAGCAGTTTGCTTGACATCAAAACTACACTTAGGTTACTACAATTTAAATCTGGTGTCAGGTTTGTAAAAAGGGATGGCTATTTTAGATTTAGTTTAGATACTCTTTTGCGCTCAGTGGCAGTGTTCAATGATCGGTCAATTTCTACATTTTTGCCGTCCAGGAATTAACCAGCAGTGTTGATTACCAAGACATGAAATAATGCGTCCTCATTTTCATGAACTCAGTATCGCAGAGACAACATTTTGATAGATAGCAAGATATCTTGCGGGATGTGTGAATGTTCTGCCCAGCCGATTGCTATGCTGGTACATGCGAATTATTTTAATAGTTAGGGATCATTTCATTTCTGTACAGCAAACCGGAAATATTTATCCAACACTCCGTCAAACTGTAAATCGGACAGGGTGGACGAGAGTTTTAAAAGAAGGATGCGAATAAGCAATGCGGAATTGGGGGAGGGGATGAGGTTGATAGAGGAACTACAGGCTGGTGTGAAGATTTCTCCTGGGACAAGGTGGAGAACTCCTTTCAAATGCCTCCTAAGCTGCCTTCAGCAGTTCTTTTAAAGGACCGCTGGTTCTGCTGCTTTGTGCCTTATGCCTAGTAGCATTCCTAGTAGGAATGTGCAAAATGTATGCCCTCCATTTGAGCTGCGAAATCTTGTAGAGGTCTGATTTAGTCGTAGGTTCTCGACATAAATATTCCACATGTAATAGCCATTACGATGGTCCTAAACAACACAAGGTCAGAGCGTGAGCAAGAATGAGACACTGATCTCAGTCTCAGTGCGAACTGACAACGGCAATGAAAATAGGCACCTCTGTCTTTCCCATGTATCCAATCTCCCAGCAGTTGGAAATACTAGAACATTCTGACGTGACGAGTTCAATATAAAGTTAAGAAGTCAGTTTGTTATCTAGAATACATGTAATTGAACAAGATAGAGCAGCCAAAATTATCTACTTAAAACGTTCTCCAAAGTACTGGGTGTATAGGTGTGAAACAAGCATAACTCATTTGAATTTTTCTCTCTCTAACCTTGAATGCATAAATTAGACCTTGCTGCACACAGACTTTATGCGGATTGGTTCAGTTCCTGACTGAGGTTCTTTTTCCCCAAGTTTCTTTCTTTCCGATTTCACCCTCTAGCTATGATTGCCTGATAGGCCTACAAATTGGCTATCGTCTTCACCCAAACCCCCAAAAATGCGTTATAGAGTCATAGAGTCATACAGCACGGAGACAGAACCTTCGATCCAACCAGTCCATGCTGAACATAATCCCAAACTAATCTAGTCCCACCTGCCTGATCCTGGCCCATATCCCTCCAAACCTTTCCTATTCATTTATTATCCAAATGTAATTTAAACGTTGTAATTGTACCCACATCCACCACTTCCTCAGGAAGCTTATTCCACACACAAACCACCCTTTGTATAAAAAAAAATTGCCCCTCATGTCTTTTTTAAACTTTCTCCTCCCACCTTAAAAATATGCCCCTTAGTGTTGAAATTCCCAATCCGAGGGAAAAGACAACTACCATTCACTTTATTTATACCCCTCATTATTTTATAAACTACTATAAGGTAGCCTCTCAACCTCCTACACTCTAGTGAAAAATAGTGCCAGCCTATCCAGCCTTTTTTTATAACTCAAACCTTCCATATCCGGCAACATCCTGGTAAATCTCGTCTGAACCCTCTCCAGCTTAGTAAAATCCTTCCTATAACTGGGCAACCGGAATTGGACACAATATTCCAGAAGGGACTTCACCAATACCCTGTACAACCTCAACATGGCTTCCCAACTCCTATAGTCAAAGGACTGAGCAATGAAGGCAAACCTGCCAAACACCTTTTTAAACCACCCTGTCTATATGTGACACAAACTTCAAAGAATTATGTACCTGCACCCCTAGGTCCCTCTGTTCTACAACACTAGCCAAGGTCCTACCATTAATTGTATAAGCTCTACTCTTGTTCATTGTACCAAAATGCAAAACCTCACATTTATCCCAATTGAACTCTCTGAAGACAACTCAAAACATGCCTCTGGCTACAGATATGAATGCTTGGTTGGAGTTTCTGAGGATTCAATGAAGTAGATATTGTCCCAGGATATGGATAACACGTACTGTCTGCTTATTGACATATCACACAGAACTACAGAAGTTTACTCGCAGAAGAAGGCCATTCGGCTCATTATGCCTGCATGCGCTCCTCAAATAAGCATCATTACTTAATGCCAATCTTTTTCTTTCTCATTCCCTTGTACATTATTTTTATCAAAATAATCTACATATTGAATGCACCCTTTGTTTCATTAGCAGCATTGTTTGGTCCAAGGATCTTAAAACTGTGAACTAATTTTAATTTGAAACATATATTTCCAAATTTATTCTGTGAAAAAATGTTCAAAGCCTCTGAAATAGGGCACCAGACAGTCTAATAAAGCACAATGGCACTTTCAAACACAGTCTGCTTCACTTAAGAGTCAGTTCAGGTTTCACCTTTGATTTATCATAGCATCACTTCAACACTTGGAGTACTATCCACTCTTATATTAATATGGCATTGAATTGTGTGCAAGTCATATTTGGGAGAGGGCTGCTGCTATCTAGTTATTTTGTACTTAAGGAGGTGGTGGTGTAGTGGTAATTTCACTGGATTATTAATCCAGAGGCTCAGGTTAACAGGAACATGGTGTTTCCAATAGAAATGCAATACTATACTACTGTGTCTCCTGGCCTGCTGTACCCATGTGACATCTACAGGCAATACCCACTGCAGGCGTCCATCTTACAACTAGTTCAAATTAAACATAATGCAAACCAGATTGCTGTTCTGTGATCTTGAAACATGGTGGCAGAGAGGAGGTGAGATTAAGTGTTGAAGAGCTATACTGAAAACACAGTTACTGAAAGCAAACTACTTAAATGAGTTGCTGAAAACTTCTAAAAATGACAGGAAGCCACAGAAGACAGAATAGAAAAAACAAGTATATCTGAAAGAACTGGGTAAGTTACAGTGGCTACAAACGACCCTCTCCCACCCCATTCAAAAAGATATATGAAACAACTGGTAGTTTTTCCACTCAATAGGAAAACTATGAGATTGCAACAGATTTAATTAACAAGCTGGAGTAGTTGCAAGGAGCTAGAATTTTATCACTTTTGGAAGTGACACTTAGAAAGTGATTTACAGGATTCCTAAATCCCTGCAAGGAGCAGAAGGAACAGCAGAAATTTTGAAAAAACTTAAAAACATGTTTTGAGTCCCAAATGAACGTATAATACGAATGGTATACGTTAAATTTTAGGGGCCAAGGTTAAAGACAGTCCATTACTGCATTCACACAGTTTGCAAAATTCTGTAAATTTATCTAAATTAAATGATCTGATTAAATACAGTGTTGTATTAGGCATGAGATCCCATGATAAAAGCACACCTACTGAGAGAGAAGAAAAGTGATCAATATGTGCGGAAGTGCTAAGATTGTAAATCAGCAATTAGTGCATATTTATGCCAGAACAGACCAGGCCTTCCATAATACTGACTTTTCACGCTGAAAGGGCAGAATGATCACAAACAGCATGTTACAAATACTGCAGAGAACATACACATGAAAGGAAGACAGGTTCAGCATGGGGAAAACAGGGCTCTCACTGAAGAAACTGAATCACTTTGCACACAAATATTTGGCCAGAAGGAAACACATCAAGCTTGCACAGGTGGCCACTGGAGACATTTCAGCCAAATTTTCCGACAAATCGCTCCATACCAAATGACACATTGGTTCAGTCAGGTCGATTCATAATAAATGGAAACTGTTCAATGATGAATGCAGAAGGAGCACATTAACTCAACATAAGGTGTCAGCTGGGCACTGGTACATTACATAGCATTATGACCTTCAAGATGTGTGTGAAGTGGCTCAATACAGTGATCCAAAAATGAGGCTCACAATGGTAGGGTTGAAGCTATACGATGGCAGCATACTTGTGTCTGTCGAAAGCAGGAATTACTTCAAGAGCTCAATGCAATGATATGATTGAAGATCTGGAATTCCAGATCATAGACAGCAGTCAAAAGCCACTTATTTCAACCAGAATGAAAAGTCTAAGGCTTGGTCTGGTAACCCTCAAAATGCCAAAGGAGATTTGCAATGTGTCACAGTATACAAAACTATTAACTGTAGAACAGCTCCTAGAGAAATACAATTATGTGTTTATGGATTTAGAAAATCTTCCTGAAGAATATCACCTCAAAATAGATGAGAGTGCAGAAGTAAGTTCTAACTGCCTTCAAGGTCAGCCTGGAAGATAAGAGTATAGGGCTGGAAAAGAAAGCAATAGTCAATAAAGTGACAATTCCTACAGTAAAGATTAACAGCGTGGTAGCAGTGAAAAAACGTGGAAGGCTGAGAGTATACATTGACCCAAGGTTCTAAATAAAGTTTTGAAAAGATCTCACTACCCAATGCCAGGCATCAATGGAATTTTTCTATAACTTCCAAAGGCAAAAATGTTCACTGTCCTGGAAACAATGATTATTAGAAAGTGAATCTGGGTGAAAATAGCAGCTTTTTAACAAGATTCTGGGTGCAGTTCAGGAGATACAGTTCGTTGTGCATACTATTTCACATTTTCATGGCTCCAGAGGAATATTAACATAGATAAAATAAGAAAGTGATATTCTTGTTTGCTTATCAATAAAAATAGAGGCACAATGGAAGATGTAATTGAAGACCATAATGTGACACATGCAAGACAGGACTTGGAGCAATGCTGACCTGTTCTGAAGAAGGGTCACTGGACCTGAAATGTTAATGCTGATTTTTCTCAACAGATGCTGCCAGACCTGCTGAGTTTTTCCAGCAATTTATGTTTTTGTTTCTGATTTCCAGCCATCTGCAGTTCTTTCAGTTGTTTACCTAACCTGTTGCATCTGC